CAGAATTCTTTGTTTAGATTTCTTGACTTTTTGAATCAATAGAGTTTGTATCATTGTACTATGATCCCAAATTCAAAATTTCCGAACAAAACCTTTTTGCGATCAATTTATATATTGTCAGTAGCTCATTATTTGTGTCCACATTTAACAAAAACCCCTTAAAATAAATATCGCGGGGTTGTCTATTTACATGGAGGTTTCACCAGAATATTGTATGAAGATTTACTATCTACAAAGAATTTTTAATGTCAAATGAATGCTTCAAGTCGAGCATAACATGACACAAGTCTACAACTAAAATTAAAGCTAAATGCTTTGTCAGTTTATTTTCACAAAGAGATCTATGTTCTTTATCTTTAGTTAAAAAGAAGAGTCGATGCACTTTATTTTTACTGCCATATAACATTATTATTTCTTAAAAATAGCACAAAAAATACCAACTTGAAATAATTTTTATAAAAAGATACATACTTCGATGTAATTTCGATTTTGACGATCAAAACTATTTTGATTCAGAGCAAATGAAAAATTAGGAATATTACACTTTTGATAACGTTTTTAAAAATGTATTGATGACTTTATTTTTTATGTTTTTTTTTTTTTTTTTTTTTTTTTTTTTTTTGTGAATTGAAAGTAATTAAATATTTTATGACCACTTTGCATATTTAGTAGGGCTTCTTTTATTAATTAAACAAATTTGGCTGTTGGCCAAAGAATTCACATTTGGAACCATTTCTCATTGCGAGCTATCGAACCTTGCTTGAATACTTAAATTCTCTATCCCAGGATCTTTAGTACTTTGCTAGAAACCTTATATCGTCTAGCAAATGCTCAGTAAAGCAGTTTTTAGCTCAATCCGTTTTATTTTGATACCTTGTATATACACCTAAGTCTGTTTTTACACGGTCTTTTTGTACACGGTTTTGATATAACACGGTTTGAAAATTGAATATTTTTAATTTTTTTACACGATTTTATTCCATTTAGCATTATTTGAAATTTTATGTACTTAAATTTTTTTTGTCAAATTTAATTTTTACGAAGTATGTTCATATTACAAAAAAGTATTTATGAAAGAAAAAAGTCTGAAACCATCGATAGTATCAATAGTTTGCGAACACTAGCTTAAAGATTTAAGTGAATTCCCCTTTAGCGCGTACAAACATTTTTTACTGGTCAAAGCAAATGTGAATAGCACAAGCATTATATATTTGATTTAATAAAATAGACATGAATTCTTGTTCTTAAAAATTCTTGTTTTTCACTAATTTTAATAGGTTTTAGAAATTAGGAACAAATCACCCATTAGGAACAAATCACCCATAAAATCAATATCTTTTTTACACGTTTTTTTTTTACACGGCTTCTTCTGGAACCAATCTACCGTGTAAAAACAGACTTAGGTGTATACAAAATATAGTATGGGAGTTGTAGAAGATAAAAAAAACACATTCTGGAAATGAAAAAAATAGCAATAAATATATAAGTGTTTATAAATGACATGGGCAACGGTTTGAACAATTTTTAGAATATATCATTGTTTTTATTTAGTTGGCATGAGATTTTGGTAATTCGACCGTACAAAACATGTTACTATAGTGGAATAGGTGAGTATTTTTGTACGGCATGTCGGACATTAGGTAAAAAACATAAGAGCATGCATTATCTCGCTCGTGCTGAAAGACTCTCGCTAACAAAAATCAACTGAATGAATTAATTTTTCAACATCAGACAGACAGCATCTTCTAAACTAATATAAAACTGTTTTCATAATTAGTTATAATAATTCTTATTTGCTTGATATAAATGCAGAACACAACTGGGATACGCTGACCTTAGGAGAACTTACCCTATTTAGAATCATTTCGGTTTCTAAATCTTGAGAATATCGTCGCGTTCTTAATATTTGTTTTATATTTTGTTTAGAAGCAACTTTACATTAATCCGAAGCCATCAAATCGAGAAGAAAGTGTGTTAGAATCATATTTTATTGTTTTATGTTATGCATATTATTTTTATCTTATGGATTTCAGCATTGTGATCATGTTTCACAGTTCGTTGTTAGAATTTTAGGTGTATGTTGAATATCACCTTTATACAGAGGCAGAGAAATGAATGTTAGAACCATTTCCCTGTTGTAGAACATTGATTAGCACATAGAATAGAGAAAGGATTTTTTAATTCCATATCGTCACCTAGGCTACATGTCATATTTACCGGTCAGCTTACTTTCTGGCCACCTACAAAAATACCCTCACTTAATTGAACTGGTCACAACATTAATATATAAATAATATAAACATACAAATTTTCGTAGTCACCTCGTTCAACTAGACCATTATCCAATTATGATAACGTTGCCGGATATACAACTCGTAAATTCACCCAAGCAGGTCCACGTCTTCGCATGGTCCCATATAACGGTTTTCAATTAAGTGGTAGTTTTCGGTTTTTTTTTTTTTTTCAAAATTTTCAAGTTTTTTCCAAGTGGTGGAGGATATTAAAAGTTCGGCCCTTAGGTCTCTACTAGAAGTGTTTCCAAAAATTAATTGCAAGTTTTCTACAACTAATTCTAAATTACCCCTAGACTCAGAGAACTTGGATATTCTGCTATTTTTTAGCATGTGGAGAACTTGGAGGCGGGGTCAAGGCCAGTGACTACATATCACCTCAGCTAAACTTGGAATTACTAGTCATCCATGTACCTGACAGGGACATCTGGATTGGAAACAACACACCTTTCAACGGAAACAGAAACATTGAATTGAACTATATATGTTAATTTTTAAGCCTCTCTGAAGGCACAAAATTCATGTACCATTAAATAAATGACAGTTTTGAAGTGTAGAAATGCACTGAAAAAACTAAGCCGTTGAGCCATTAAGCATTGTTGGTTTTCAGGCCATTGCAACAACTCTAGCAATGAATCAATAGATGAATTGACAAGACCTTGAATTTCATCACAAATGGCAAAATGTATTGTCTCTGAAAAAATTTTGCCGGTGCTCTCTGAGAGGAGATCTAAGTCGCTCTTATCCATGGCGAAATTATCACAGGTCACTATAACATAAGGGAAATGATTACCGATTACTGCAGGCTCTGTCTAGTTGAGGAGGAAACTGAACCGGTAGAGCACTTACTTTGTCACTGTCTAACTTTTCTCGGTAGGAACTTTATAGAAAGAAAGACTTACATGTAAATATATGTTTATAAGAATCGTGCGTTATTTATATTTCAAACCATCATCAAAATACCGAATATTGCGACAATGCTTTATCACCGAAGGTAGAATCCATTATGAAGTATGAACATCGAATTCTAAACAATTGTCTTAATAAATGTAATTAATATAATTAAAACTATCAAATATACTTGAATCAAAAGGTGCATTTATATGGGCGCTACTCCAAAACATTGTCCTAAATTAAACATCTTCTGCGAATAGCTTTTCTATCCCCTAATAATCCAAGATGGCAAATACTCCCCGAAATAGCCGAAACCAGGGGATACCTTCATATGAGGGTTTTACCGAAACGGTGACCTATTCTTATTATTTTTGGAAGGTTTTCTACTTGCGTGCGCTATAAGCATCACCATAACTTTGAAGATATGAAAGATCCAACAAGCAAATGAATATTCAAAGAAATTTATGGCTCACTAAGGTACAGTGTCAGGGTTGGGGGGTGGCAAATTTCAAGGGGACTTATCATATTACATGTTTGCATTGAATTTACTTTTACCTAAATCTTCAATGTTCTATTGCCATCACTTAACAAGGTTGTGTTATCGACCCTTTGGACATTTGGACATGTATATTAATATAATAAATTGGCAGTATATATTATTAAGCATATAGAATATTTTAATGCCGACAGATTAATTTAAAACAAGAAATCATCCATCAATCACTGCAGCACATTCCAGACATATTGACATTTAGAGGGAGTCACAACGGAACCACCGACCCTGCAGTTAATACGACGGCTCTTCGATTTCCCTTTCAATAACATAATAAAACTACATTAACTGAGTAGTGGATATCAGGTGAAATGGGATGATTTGCAAATCATCAGTCGTCAGCCAGTCCATTGCCAGCAAAACGCGAATCCATTACCGCTGTGGGACAAAAGACAAAGAAGTACAAAAAAGTCGACCAAATAATTTGCTCTGCGCTGCTGTCTTCATGGGAATATATTGGAGACACGATTCGATTCACTGCACTTCCATGACTGTGACATTTAATGCGCCGAAGAAGACGATGAACGGAGTCCCTTTGCACTTTCAAATCAAGCACATTTTGGGCTTCGGAGGAGGGAAAGCAATCGGCAAAGAGAAAGTACAATGGAAGAGAAAACAGTGAATAATATTCATATTCATTTTATATGGAGTGGAACGAACAGATTTTGTTACCAACCATGAATCTTTCCAATCAACCATTGAAGCGGATGCAATGAAATTATTCGAACAGATGGATCTCGTCACAGAGTTCAATTCAATTAAAAGTCCCTATTTGTGGAGAATGCCACAAAAAGGATTAAAGATCGTTCGGCAATAAGGAGAAGACAACTTCCTATATTTATAGCCATTGAAAACTCGACGACAAGGTCAAGAAAGTCGTACTAGTCGTACACACGCACACACCCATCGCACATAATGAATTCCAAAAAGAAATGTACACCCAAATGGGCGACGTAAATGCATTACATGTCAGTGGGTATGATGTGTGGTTGGTGTTATTGTTGTTGTCATTTGTCGTCATTGTATAATTCTAAGTAGGTCAAAATTGTACAACTATTCTCTTGCCTACACACACGGTACACATTTCGTGCCATACATTGTAATATGACAATCGTTGGTTGTTTAGTCGGTTGGTCGGGCGATTGCATCCATATCACCCATCCCATCATCCGTCAAACGTTCGTCATTCCAATGACAAGATGTCGACGTCGCAATAAATGGATAGAAAATAGAATTATTTGTGCTTGTTTGTAGGTATTTACCTTTTTAGTCCGACTGTTTTGTTCGAACCCAATTTGCTTAGTTTGGGCTTCTTAGTTGTCATCGATTGCTGGCGGGGATTCTGGGATTCATCTTGCTGTGCAGGTGGCTTTTCAGTAGTATGGGTAACAGTGGTGTGGTGGGAATCTGGACCATCATCCGAAGATGTTCCCTCTACGGAGCTGCGAACATTAACATTGACAACATCGTCGCCACAATTGTTGCCCGCCACATTTACTCCACCGCCACCGCCACCTCCTCCACCATCGCCACTACATCTTCTATTGTTAGTGGTGACGTCGGTATTGCTGCTGGTGTTATTGGCATTGTTGTTCAAACTAAAAGAGTTATTGTTGTTGCTGCCATTACTGTTCTGACGCTTCACCCGTACCGGAGATGATGTGTGGTTTGTGTCGTTCAGTAAATGGGTGCGCTCGTCGTCACAGAACTCATGGCCAGATGCCACATTCACATTCGCCAGCAGGGCATCCACCTCTGTTGTGTGGGACTCTGTTCCGGCCATGTATTGGGAGTTGAGTCTGAGACTTAGGCTAGAACGAGGTGGAGAAGGCACTGGTTCCCTGTTGGTTATACTACCACCACCATTCTCTGCATCGCCTTCAGTTCGGTTCGACGAACGGCCATTCGCAGCCGATGTTTCCTGGGGAGCAGGTATGACGTATGAGAGCATTAAAGATGCTTTTCACTGTTCGAATTAAATTTTATGAATTTCACGATAATTGGATGAGTTTTCTGATCCGTTCAGTCCTTTTGTTTGGTATTTCTCTCCGAATTCAAAATGAATGCGTATACAATGCAGTCTATGTTGATTTCATATGTTTTTATTTTTTCGATGTCACCGACCGGAAGACAGGCAGACAATGGTAACTCGCTTCCGGATTGTCGATTGTTTTATCAAAACTATACTTTTTTCACTAAAATTCGAAATTCGGATTATATTCTTCAAAAACTCAGTCAAGCACAATTAAATCCATGCAGATCTCAGTCTTTTATTTACGTTTCTTACGTCCGCCCTTCTTCGGATTCCTCGCAAATTCTTCTGTTCACTGTCAAAGAAATGCGCACCTTCAAATTTTGACTTATTATTTATTTTTGCCTTTCCTTTTGTTGCATTCACATTCCTCCACTTCACCACTGCCACTCTTCTATCTTTCTTTTTAGCCAAGTTACCACCGTCTTGCGTTTCTTTGCGTCTTGCGTTTGTTTGTTGTGTATAATAAAAAAAAAGAAAACTTTTCTGTTCGGCGCAATGAATTTTCCCGAGATTTTCGTCGCGTAATTTCAATATGAGTCTTCAATAGGGGAGATTATATAGAATTTAAAAGTTTGTACCACAGAACTGAATATCACAAAAAACATGCAAATTTAAAAACTTGTCAATTAGAATTTGTTTGTTGTGGTGGTGGCGCTCACGACAGTATTGTTGTAAATTGTCTCCTCGACCCACAAACAACAACAAAAATCGTCTCAATTCTAATTGGAAAGCGGTGTTGTCAACTTTAATAAATTGACGTGTAGTGCTGTTCCATTTCCATGTAGTACTGACAATTGAGGCGTTTACTCTGCAAACCAATAGATGTCGCTAGTAAAAATAGAAGATGTGTTCACATTTAAAAATTTATCGTTCAATTTGTTTACATTTTTAATTGATTATCGGCAACATCTATTATCCGGTAACAAAAAGTATATATTTATTTCTACTTGAAAACAACAAGAGCAAATACAACAAAATAATTTACACTTTTTCAATCATTATTTAATTTAAGAGAAAATTTCGAAAAAGGAATAAAACATCAAGTTTTTTTAGATATATGTAAATGTTATCATACCGTCCTCAAAAATGCATATCCAGTATACACTATTTTGATATAAAATTTCACTGCAGGGCAAAGTGAACATATTTTTTTTGCATAATAATAGAAAAATTCGCTGTTATACGTAACATGACGCCAACCTCTAACCACAGCAAAAGGCCGGCTACTTGCAAAAAGTTTAAAGTTTAGAAAACTTAGGTTCGCGTTAGCCGGTACAGGACATACCCACAGGAGAAAGTTTCAAGCCCCGTTCGCCCCTTTTTTTAAAGAGAAAAATCACTCAAATTGATTAAAATTGGTGAAAAGCACACAACATAGCAATCCCATTACAATTGTGGCGATTATGACCGATTTTGTCTTGGACACAATCCCCTTTCCCATTACAATTATAGGGATTATGATCGATTTTTTCTTGGACACAATTCCAATATGGGGGTTATGAAAGAAAAAATCGGGGATTATATGGGGATTATGTCCGAGTTTTTCATGGTAAAATCAAGAAGGTGAAGTCATTTCAAATAAGCATTCCCATCTTTGCATTTTCTGTAACTGAGCTTGTCAAATACAATCGTTCATATGAACTGTCACAACAAAAACAAGATTTGTTTATGTACATTTGTAAACCATTCAAATTTTCAATGAATTCTGTGAAATTAATTGTTTGTAATAAATATTCAGAATGGTTAAAGGTATTACGTAATTGGCTCTATCCATGATTCGCCAAAAAGTTGTCCCATAAATTGGAAATTTTCACCGAAGGACTGCTTTTTTTATCCTGACTAAAACAACATACATTTTTTCAGGGATAAACCAGTACTTCCTTTGACATGGGATCCCGAATACTCCAAATTGCCCCTTTTTTCTTCATAGTTCCTAAACCTTAATTCGAGAACCCTGTTTTGGACATACCGCAGCGGATGAAATCTCATGGACAGAAGGGCAGCAACCTAAACAATTATTACAATAAGAAAAACTTGGGGGTTTCACGTAGGTATTTTCACCAGATCTCGATCAGATGTGAAAAGGGACAATGTCGACCCGCTGGATATGAAAAACGGAATGCTGTCCCAAAAATTGTATATGAGTCACATGCTTGGGAACAATAAAAAATTTTCCATTCCGGCCAAAATTTGTTTTTTTTTTTTTGCAAAGAAAAATTGTTCTCATATTTTCAAATTCAAAATTTACGTTTTTATTTTGAATTTGAATTTATCTTTGTCAAAATAATTTTTTTTTGACAATGAGATTTTGTCAAATGGAAAATTTTGAAAAAAAACCTTAATTCTACCATGGAGTTTTTTTCTTTGAACATAATCCCCATTTCCATTACAATTATGAGGATTATGAAGGAAAAAATGGGTTATAATCCCCATAATTGTAATGGAGTTGTTATGATGTGGGGTTTTCAACAATTTTAACTAATTTGAGTAATTTTTCATTCAACATTTATCCTTTCATAAAAGCTTTGACAGTTTATGGTACGACCATATGTGTTGATGCTGCTACCAGTATTCTTCCACCACACATGACTAGAGCATAGTAATCACCCGAATTCAATTGTTTATTGCAAAACACATATACAGTTTCTATATATGTATGCATTTTCTCAATAAATACAATAATTTTTAATGCATACATGGTATAATTATTACAGGCAAAAGCAAGTCCCAGCTGATTTGACTCTATAGTAATACTGGTGTAAAAGTCGATATGACGTTTTTGTTTACAATGACGTTTTTGATATACAATAGGTATACCCTTTTTTGATATAAAATTTCACTGCAGGGCAATGTGAACATATTTTTTTTGCTAATAATAGAAAAAATCCCGGTGTATTTAACAAAACTACAAAGGCGATGGTTCGGAAACTTTGTTTGCGTTTAAGGTTGCTGTTCCACGTTATATAATGTATTCGTATATTTAATGTTTCCCATGGCTCAATAAGAAAGGTTGCTCAACTTCAAAGAAACTAGAAAAATGCAAATCTGTGCTGGAGTCTTATAGTCTCAAATAGACTTTAAAATATGCAACAGTAGGCTTTGTTTATTTTTTTTTTTAACAAAATTCTTATATTGGGGAAAAACCGCGAAACAAGAATGTAATTTCGAGGTTATCCCACAAGATGGAATCTAAAATAGTAGGACAATACAGTGATATCGCAAAATTGTACAATTTGTTATCCATTCAGGTCGAAAATTTGCATTTATTTAGCAACCAAATTTGAAATAATTTCAAATTATTGTATTTTTTATTCAAAACAATACACACACATACACAAAATGTGTATATGTTTCGACAGAATAAGAGCACAAAAATAAAAAAAAATATTTGGGGGGTAGCTTTGTTCTACCCTCTGTAATTGTGCCATGATGTTTCCTAAAATTGCAAAATGTAGAATACTTTATGTATGTATGCTGTTTGGTTTCAACTTGAGAGGGATGTTGCCTTTTTCACGATTTTCTAGCGATTGCTTGAAGTGTTGAGAGACTAGGGCCAACAGCTAACAACTATACATTCAGGGGAATGATGTGAAAGCATTAAAATTAAATAGGTTAATAACTATTCTTCTGCATTTCAATTTAATAATCCAAATACCAATAACGTATATTTTTAAAATTAAAATAATTTATTGAAAATTAATTATTTTGTTTACATTTTTGGACACATAACTCTGACACTTATTTTACGTACAAAAACAAATTTGTATGTGGTTGTTGTTACGATTGTTGTACAACAACTTGCTGTTACCTGTATTTTACTACCATGTAATGTATATAGCTTTTGGGCAGAAAAAAGTTTGCGCTTGGGATAAAAGGAGGTGTATTAGGAACTCGATATAGTGAAGCTCGCGGCGTTCCATTGGTTTTTCGCGATTTTCTCTCGAATTAAAATATTGTCATAAAAGTGTCAGATTAACAAACAACTTGCTGCATTTGTTATTACTTAATTTGAAGATACAAGACTTATAATTAGAACATAAAGCATAATTACAGAAGGTAGAACAAAGCTACCCCCTAAATACATCTTTTTTTCTTTTTGTGCCCTTATTCTGTCAAAACATATACCCTTGTTGTGTATGTTTGTGCATTGTGTTGAATAAAAAATACAATAATTTAAAATTATTTCAAACTCGGTTGCATCACAGAGTTGCTGTTATCTAGTTTCTTTAAAGTTGAGAAACCTTTCTTATTGAGCCATGGGTAACTATCATGGTACAAATACAAGAGGTAGAACGAAGCTACCCCTAAATACTATTTTCTCCCTTTGTACCCCTATTCTGTCAAAAAATATACACAGTTTGTATGTGTATGTCAAATAAGACTTTCCATCTCTGCATTTTCTGTAATTTACCTTGTCAAATTTCATTGAATAGAAAAAGGTTCCTATTTTGACAATGAGATGTTGTCAAGGGTAATATTTTGAAAAAATTGTAAACATAATATAGCATGACTTAACCTTCTTAGTTCAACCATGTTCTAGCAGGTCTTGCGGCAGAGCATGTATGAACTTGAAATTTTTGTTGGAAAAAATAGGCTGCTGGGCAAGTCTAGAAGAGAAAGTAACTAGAGACCTAATACAAATGTGCACCAAAAAGTCGATAACAAAAATCGATTATTTCTCTAATGGATTAGTACAGAATAGAGTAAGTGTCGGCGTCAAGCCGCCACACATATTTTCAGACTCCTCCGTGAATTTTGTCTTCCATACTGGTAGTCACTGTGAAAAAATGCGCCCATAATTAACATTTTTCAATATTCCTCGATATTTTAAAAAATCTGATTTCCAGCTTTATTGTTACTAATTTCTGCTGCATTAAACTTCAACCGCCAACAAGTCGAAATCGCAGCTGTCCATCGCCGATAGCCATACATTTTATGGGACACCGCCGTCGTCGAGGAATCGTTCGGCTTCATTATCTGCTCCACTCCCAGTGCCCTATTCGAATATTATTTAGTACCAATCGGACAAACAAGTCCAACAAATCTTCACCCACAATTAATTAAATAGTTAATAATTAATAGTTGATATTTAATTTTGTTTTTCGATTCTCTTACAAATTTATTACAAATAGCAAGTAAGTAAAATACAATTTAGGAAATAATATAAATTGCAATAAAAGCGTTCTTTGTGCCTTCAAGTATTAAAGTTTTACTGGTGATGTGTAGAGAAAACAAAAAACATAAATAAAGAAGGGTTGCTGCTTATTTAATTAATTGAAAATGATTCATTTCAACAACAGAATAGTGTTAATCTGGAACAAAGGAGTTCTTATGAAATGCGATTTTCAGAAGAAAAATTGATTTATGTTTTATTGGCCATTTGTATATACCCCCGGCATGTCTTTGGATATTCAATTACATATTATATATCCCAGGTTTCGAACGTTATTGCTCATATTGTTTTCACCATATATGGTTTAAATCATCGAAATTGTTGAATACGACGACATGTAAGTAATGTTAAACATCTTTTGCGAATACAAAAAAGACGACAGACACAGCTCGAAGCAAAGAAACTGCTCATTGCCAGAGTGCGCCAGTGAATTGAAGTTATGACTCACTGAGCTAAAACGGTTGTATTTGTAACAGGGTCGATCACTTGGATGAGAGTGTGTGTGTGTTCATGTTTTGTTGACACAGATTGCTGATAATTTTCCGAAA